CAAAAAACCAGAAACAGTTAAAAGAAAGTTCCGGCATTCTTTTTGGTAATTGCGTTTTTTGATATATTCGCTTTTTTATTATTATTATTATTATTTTTACAACATCGATAATTTTTATTTTTTAAAATTATTTCGCTAAAATTAAAAATACAATAATATTTTCAAATTTTTACACTTACTTTTATTGTAATTTAGTCAATTAAATTATATAATTTATGTATCTGGGTTAATATTGGTCTTCCCTTTTATTAAGTTATATATAAAATTAATCTAAATATATATCTATATATAGATTTTGACTAAAATTAAACCACTCATCCACAAATTTTATATTAAAAATATTTGTTTTGTTTAAAAATAGAAGTCTTTAAAATAATAGACATTTTAGTAATTAAATCCAAATACAAGTACCTTTTTGTAATTTAACGAAATAAAATCACTCCGCTAAAAGAAGAATAGTTTCGTCACGCGCCTTGGTTGCGTGTGTGGTCTGAGGGTCCAACAAACGGGTGCGAGATAAAATGTCTCCCACAGTGGTTCCCTGGCGCTGACAGCTTTGGGCCCACGCAAGGGTTCCGTTGCGAATCTCAGTCGCAGATGTAAAGCGCGTGATTTTTCCACTTTCTACCCACTAATAATCTTCTTCTTCATCTTCCTCTTCCTCCTCCTCGTCCTCCTCCTCCTCCCTTCTCCCCAAAAATCACCCATCTGATCTCTTTTCTCCCTCTCTCTCTCCTCTCTTCCTCATTTCTTGACTTATTCTGTTGGTTTTTAAGTGATGACAGCACCCAACATGGCGGCCATTACTGCATCTTTAGAGAGGTCTTTACAGAACTTTTCTCTCAATACCAACAACAACGCTAATGATGAGCAAGAAGAAGAAGAAGAAGAAGATGATGATCGAAGTAGCGGAGTTGCAGGCGGTGGTGGAGGGATATTAGGGAGGTCGTCAACATCAGATGATGCCGCAACACAACAAATTCTTCACCATCGAAACTCTGATACCACCTTGGAGCTTAACTCTCATCTCTCTCTTCCTTATCATTGGGAGCAATGCCTAGATTTAAAGGTTCTTATTTATTTTCTCTCTTTAATATTTTCTTTTTCCTGTTTGGTGAATGAGAAAACAAGCTGTTGGCTGTTCTAGTCCCTTTCATCGTTTGCAGATGTAATAAATGCAAAAAAACATAGCAGATCTTGTGCTTTTCTTTGTTATTATGTGAAAATATATTAAGGGGATCTTTTATTTAATGCTTCCCTTTGTCTCTTCTGTTCATCTCTCCTTTTGCCATGCTAAGAGTTGCGCATAACCCAAAGAAAAAAAAAAAAAAACCCTAAAAGGTATTCAACTTTGAGGAAAAAAAATTCCTCTCTCTTTCCCTTTTTGATTATATATAGACCCATTTGATTAATCTCCTTTCTTACCCCTTTTCCCTTTCAAAGTGATTAGCTTTCTAGGTTTTAGACGGTAAAAAGAAAAAGAATCCATATTTGTAATTGGCATAGAAATAAGAAAGGAAAGATTTTTCTTTTCTGTTTCTGTTATGCATAGTAATTTTGGTTTGATGGATTTTTGCAGACAGGGGAAATTTACTACATAAACTGGAGAAATGGGATGAAAGCTAAAGAAGATCCAAGAATAAATGGAGGCGTTTTTAATGGAGAATTCTTCTATTCAGAGGATGATAGTTCATATGACAGCGCAGAAGAATCATCTTCAGAGTCTTCACCGTGTTCATCAAGAGACCATCTGCAACAACAACAGCATTACCGAGTCGAGAGAGAAGACAGCGTGTTGGTTGTGGCTGGCTGCAAAGGCTGCCTCATGTATTTCATGGTTCCTAAACAGGTTGAAGATTGCCCTAAATGTAATGCTCAGCTTCTCCATTTCGATCGATCTGAAAACTAATTAATCTTTTGTTTTCTTCTTCTTCAAATTTGGATTTTTGTTTTTTCCATTTTCTTTTCCGTGATTTTGAAAGATTTCAGTGTGGAATGATGAAATGTGAGGCAAATGAATCATTATATTGACTACCTCCTTCTGTTCCTCTTCAATTTCTTTTTTCTTTTTTTCTTTCTGGACGCCATTTTTAGTCGCAGGAAGCAGCAGCGAGGTCAATGATACAATAGAGAATAATATTTGGTAATGATTGAGACGTGTAGCTCATCTTCTTAAAAAAATATACCCCTTAATTATATATATATATTTATATTCTCTAACTTTGTATTTATTTATTTATTTTTATCTTAGTCCTTAATCTTTGAAATATTAAAATTAAAGAACTCAACCTCTAGTCTTATTTCCAATGAAGTCCTTCAGTAAACAAAATAATGTTAAACATAGTGGATATGCCATGTGTCTTCCACATAATTTCCATGTTAACAAACATGATGACATGATAATTATACCAATCAAATGGGTTTGATATATTACTTTTGATAGCTCGCTAATTCATTCAAATAAAATTTAGCAAATCAATTAACCCTCTCTTTTTGTCTCTTCAGGTTATTTTATTTTGGGTAGTAGTTTCTCCTCTTCTCGAGCTTTCATTCACTTCCTTGCATATATATTCTTCTAATTGAACTTTTTTTTTTTAATCGAAGCTCTAGCTTTTTTTTCAACAAACATCAACATCAAGAAAAAGCATGTATGGTGTTGGTGGACATGGCAAGGGAGAAAGAGTAGAATCTTAGTTTCTTACTCATTTGTACTCCTTTGGTAAAGTTACCAAGTTTTTGAAACATGATGGCCTAGATAAATTTGGCGAACATCATTGTGAAAATTGAATTTTGAAGAGTTAAGCCATTCGAGGGGACGTTAAAGGAAAGTTTAGAGATGATGATAATTTTAATGCAAGATAGATTGCGCACCATGGATGTAGGATTGACATAATTGGTGTCATTGAAGAAAAACAAACCTCCATCCTAGGCTTTTAGACTTTGAATTTATATATCAATTTAGATACTATGTTATTATGCTTTGCAAGTTATTATATTTTTATAAATTTTTATTAGTTCCTTAACCATTCATTTACCCATTAAAAAATTTCAATATATAGTTTTTTTATTTAAAATCAAGTATATATCAGATAATGGATCTTAAAAGAAAGATTCATTATTAGTATTCTTATATTCAAACCACATATCAAGATAGTTAACTAAATATGAGAGAATAATATAAGGTTTACGTTTTAAAAAAGACTTGTATTCTTTCATTAATGCTAGTAAGTGGTGTGAGCTTGTGTCCACGTCTCGCTCAAGCTTCACTGGGGAGGTTATAGGTGCGTGATATAGAGAAAAAAAACATGTATTTTTTCACTAATGCTAGCAAGTGATAAGAGCTTGTGTCCCCACATCTCACTCAAGCTTCACTGGGAGGTTACTTGCTATAAAGCTTTCATACTTACTAAAAAGACCTTAATTATAGATGATAATGCAATCTGGATATCTTAGATGATGAGATAGAGGGAAAAAACCAACAAAGAGATGGAAATAACTAAAAAGGATTTTTAAAAAATGAGCAAAGAGAATGAGAAATCTTATAATTTCATGAGTGTGAAACAGTGGAAGGATGAGACTAACATGAAGAAGTTAGAGGAAGTTATAAAAATTATTGAGATGCTTAGTTCTTGACTTTCAACACTCAACTTCATTATTATAATGGTTAAGGTGAAGCCATAAGGCTTCATTCTTGATAAGTTTAATTTTTAAGTATGGGTATTCATGCTAGTTGTTACTTTAGTTTTGAGTTTTATTAGAGTTTACAAATTTGCTCTCTACTTCTTCAGTCTCCTTCTTAGTGCTTTTTAGATATTTAGAAATTGACATAGTGTATCTATCTCATGAACTAAAGGAGAAGTTATTTGTCTAAATTACTCTGATCTTCATTGAATTCGTCCTGTATTTGGTTGTTCATCCTTGCATTAAAGTCTAACTAATGTTTCTTAATGAGGGTTATAATTATTGCATAATGAGAGGTTGTAGTTGATATTCTAAAGAGTTGATGTTTCAATTCCTTTTCCTCTGCCATTTGAGAAAGATCATGATACTATTATTAGGAATAAATTTATAGGGAGTTTAGTTCTTCCCTCTTATAGTATAGAAATTCTCTTCATATGTTGTATTGTACTTCTCTTAATACCATGATTTCTCATTACTTGCTAAAAAAGACGTAATTCATGATAAAAATGATGCTAAAAGCGTGAAGGGGCTAAAGCAGTTCGTCAATAATTGGCTTAGTCTTAACTTAGACTTGGATAGGGTTAGGCTTTTAATGTGTTAGGCTCATGATAAGTTAGTCCCATGAGTCTTATATATAAGCTTGACTAAGACTAGACTTGATAAGTGCTAAACTTAGGTTAAATTAGTGCCATGAGTTTTGATAGATTGACTATGTTAGAACTAGCATGATAAGTGTTAAGCTTATTCTAGGTTGATCCTACGAGTCTTACCTAGGCTTGATTAGGTCCAAGGTTAAAAGATAAGCTTAAGCTTGGTTAGCCCATGAATCTTCTTTCAAGCTTGAGTAATTAGGGTTAATAACAAAATATATTATGTGATTGAAACCTACTAATATGAAAAATGATGACCTTAAAGTTTCATCATATGGTAACACTTTAACGATCAAATTTATTAAAAAAGAAAAAAGAAAAAAGAAAAAATAGAAGCTCAATAAGTTCTATTGAAAAGGGAAAGTGAAGTATATGTAAATAAATGGTTAAAGAGTCTTATTTGTCATTTACATTAACATATTTTTATATGACATGACCTTATAATTTTCATAGGTAAAACTTGAGTAAATGCCCTTACATTGAATAATAAGTGCTAGGGTATTGGAGCAACATCCAAAGGTTTAATGACCAAGCTTTATGGTTGGTTACCATTATAGGAGGCTTATCAAATTTACTTTCCAAGAAAGGATTAAGTTCGGAGTAGGTTTTTTAAACTTACACTGAAATTTATTAAAAAATTGCTTAACATATATAAAAGAATTGAAATTAATGAATAGAAATTAAAAAAAAATGAGAAAGGTGATCTATTTGAATATGAGTTTCTCTTTCCGTTAGCTTTTTAAAGTATTATATTTCGTTTTTGAAATATCTTATTGTTAAAAACATCAAACATTCGATGAAAATTATAGTTAAAGATGAGTTTGGGAGTTGATGACAGCACTGGATGAGACACAATGACAAAAACAGGCAACGAGAGCAAGATGACGAGGAAAAATAACTTGACAAGAATAAGTAACATGGCTAGGGAAAGATGTGTGATAAAAACAATTGAAGGAGGCATTGAGTGGGTGCGGAAAAAAAATAAAAAATAAATGTAATATGTTATAGTATTGGCATGTTAGAATATACTATTTTTTTTCACCCCCAACTTGAACATGTTTTTACTCAATTAAATGCACTCTCCAAATCCATCAAATTTCAAAGAAAAAAATTGCATTATATAACTTGAACTTGATCCCATTTAAATATTTTAAACTCGAATAGGCCCCAATTTTAGGGTAGGTTTATTTATTTTAGCGTGACCGAATTTTCAATAAAACTCAATATGACCTGATATAAGATATACATATAATATATTATATATGTGCAAAACTGAAAAAAAATATTACATAACTAATTGAACTTAAAAATTATGTTATATATATAACCAAGTTGAGTTTAGACATTTTTTTTTTTTTGACATAAATCAATTCGACCTGAATTTAGTTTAAAAAAATTAAAACTCGATTTAAAAGCCTTTCATTGAAGTAAGAAGAATTGTTTATATACGCATATTCAATTTATCTTTTTCATTTATCATCTCTATTTTAATAATGTGAAAATTTCATTAAAAGGCACATGACATATCCTTCTATGTTTAACCGAAAATATCAATCGAAGGGCTTGTTTGAAAATAAAACTAAAAATTGTGGGCCAAATCTGTAATTAAGTCCTTAATATATACACACATACATTAAGTAATCTCAATCTAGTTGCATTTATTTTATTAATTAGGCCATCTGTACTAATGATGTATCTCGGCCATTATCGTTGAATCCCTGCACTAATACACATTCTTTAATCATTCTGGTTTTACAATAATTAATGAGTTCTGGTCACAGTCTTAAGATAAAATTCTTACTACTAAATTAGCTATAATACGTGGAGAGAGACAGTGCCATTATCTAAACTTTACTTTAATTAGTTTATTTTAAAATAAAATTATGATCTTAATATATATTAAACGAAATAAATACATTCGTAGATATTAATATATGTAAGAGTACTTATTTCTCAATATTTTTGTCAAATATTATTAAAAAAATTAATAAATGTGAAATCTAATTTACATTATTGGTGTAAGACCCGGACTCGAAATTTAGTCTGTGATTAATTTTAAAATTAAAATATATATATAATTTCTAAATTTATAAATTTTTATTTAATGTAAAATTTAAAAAAATAAGTGGAGATTGAAATTGAAAATAATTTTGAAAAAAAAAACGTGAAAATTTGGCTTCGAAATATATTTTTGAAAAGAAAAATTAGAAAATTAGAGTCAAAATGCAATTAATAAAAAACGTCCTACGTAGGACCGCTCAGCTAGTAGCTCCAATGAACCGGAGCGCGCTGCGTGGTTAGGTACGCTGACTCAGCACCATGCAAGAGACCACGGTAGCAATCTGCGTGCTCGCAATCAGACGGCCCAGATGTGTTCCCGCGTGCGTAGACGATCCGGATCCGCTCCCTCCTCAGGCGCGATCAGACGGTCACGATTAAATGCGATGAACGATTCAGATTCATTCCCTCTTTAAATGCAATCGTACGATCAAGATCAAATCGCGATGAATGGTCCATATTCATTTTCTCTTTAAACGCGATCAGACGGTCGAGATCAAATGCGATGAATAGTCCAGATTTAAGGAATGCGGGTATAAATATCTCACTTTACACCGAACCTAAACCCTAACCGCTAGCCCTCAACCGAAGAATAACAGCCAATCGCCGGAGAAAGGAGCCGACCGCCGCCCCCCGTCGCGTCAGAG